TATTTTTATTGTCAGTATTACTACGATTATAATTAAAGTGTGCTAACATATTAGTACTTCATTCATTTATAGTTTTTCTAACATCTAATTCATAATCTAAAGTTAAATATGATCCTACAATTTTCATTGGGTTTAATTATCTTAATACTGGTTTAAACTGGTTTATGTATATTTTTTCTTTTCTAGTTTTAAAATCAATTTTTCTATTAACATATTATCTAGGGTCTATTTTTAAAGTGAATTGCATATTTAGTCACTGAACTTTCAGCCATACTTTCAAGAGGTCACTGAACTTTCAAATTAATGCAACTAGTCACTGAACTTTACAATTCGTAATCCCACCAGTCACCAAGCAAACCGCAGTTAACAATTTGGACGGAATTTCCCCATGGTAGCTGACGTGGCACGACAACTCAATAGATTTCGGCCAACTCGTCAAAATTGCTACACGCGTGGCAATTCCCTTATTTTGAAACACGTTTTTGTTAAAAAAAAAAAAAAATTTGAAACCCATTTCATTTCTCTCCCAAATTGGAACTACATCCCTGTCCCTTTCTGTTTTCTTGCTACTGGATGATTCAACTATTGAATCTTTGGAATTCCTTCGACCTCTTGGAAAATTAAATTGTGGAAAAGCATTATTGGTACTAATTGTTGGCATAGTAGCATGTCCCAGTGGTTCTCCTCTTGGCTCTTCAAAAGCATTAAATCTTCGGAATTCCTTCTGCTGCTACTGCAATTGAAGGCTGAAGCTAATATCAGAAATCACAAATTGTCAAAAATTTGCATATTGTGGATTCACAGAAATTGGAAATAGACCGGAGCCACCGGAGAGGATTGTAAAATCAGAATTGTTACTGCACTGAGTACCGACCATATCAATCTGGCAGATGGCCGTGGGAGTCAGGGACCAATTAGCTTTGCCGGTGGAGGAGTTAGGGTCAAGCAGTGGCAGACATGTTCTTGGTAGTGGGAGCCGCCATTTAAGGAGTCAGGGTCGGACGGATTTTTTAATTTTGGCTGATTCTAAACATTGAATCAAATGTGAAAACCCAGCAATTATTTGGTAAATGGATGGGATCATGGGAGCCGCCATTTGGGGTTTTTGATAAGCTTCAGCCCTCAATTGCAGTTTGTTAATGTAAGGATTATTTTCTTTCTTTGTAATTTTGGGAATGGAAGGATTTTGGGGAAGCATTGAAATGGGTTTCAATTTTTTTTTTCGGATTTCAAAAACGTATTTCAAAATGGAGAAATTATTGAAAATACCCAAAATTCAACTATACCCTTTCCAAAATAGCTTTTGACTTTTCAAAACTTTGAAACTACCTAAAATACCCCTAAACATTGTAATTACATTCAAGCTATCCAAAATAAAAGAATTTACAACCAAGTCCTAAATTTTAAAATGACTAATAAAAATTATAAAAAACTTATAATTAAAAGATGACCATATAAAATTAAGAAAATTGTAAAAGATAAAAAGGAAATTGAATCTGAAAATGAATTTG